GTGGACAGACTGTTGGATCTAAACACGATTAGGACACACACACACACACACACACACACACACACGTCTCTGTACTGTTGGCTATCAGTTCAAACTGGGTGTGTGTCACATGTTCAGATAACGTTTGTTTGTGGTAAATACAAGAAAGAGAAGTATAGCAACAAGGACATTTAAGATGGCTGTTGCCCACTTAGAGCTTTCAACCTTTTGTTCCAGTACCTAAAATACATTTGTCTCAGCTTTTACTCGTCTTGAAGGCCTGTTGGGGTTTTCCCTTTCCCGTAGTTTGTTGGGAAACGCCTCCATTGGCCTCCTGTGTTTACTTCTGGAACATAGTGACATCACAATGGAACATTTGCCATTCTATTGGCTTGTTCTGAAACACAGAGCTATGGGGCAGGCCTCTTTAAATGTATACTTTTAAGTAGTTGATACTAAATCTGCAAAATAGTGCAAGTAAATAAAAGAAATAAGTACACAAATTGAATTAACTCAAGAATCAAGGAAATGTTTGCAGTCAGTAGAACTTTTTCTCATTTTAAATGTGTGTCTAAGTGCATGCATTATTCTATAACATATTCCAGCTTTAAGGCAGGGAATGCAAAAACATTTTTCTGCATTTATTTTACTTTTATACCATGCAAGGTATTTCATTATTAGTGTAGGAAAATTCAAGTTGAAAGGCTCTTTGAGTCAGAGGCGGCGTCACACAGCATCATCTGACCGGTCACCACACTATGTTTGAATGTAAACAGCCAGCTTTGTTTCACACACACACACACACACACACACACACACACACACACACACACACACACACACACACACACACACACGCGCGCGCGCGCACACAGACACACACTCTCTTTCTGTCAGGCCCTACAAGTGGCTCGCACGAATTAGCCTCAGCAGGAGACGCATCACCAAGACAACCACAGCCCTCCCTCTCCTCACAGAAAGGGGGAGTGGAGTTCTGGATTTGAATGCCTTTGTTCGACTCCGCTGTGGCAGTGTGTGTGTGTGTGTGTGAGAGAGAGAGAGAGAGTGTATGTGTGTGTGTAAGCCGGTCAGTGTGTTTGAGGAGCGACACAGACAGCAGGAACTTCTCTGTGATTTTCCGTTAGTCTCTGATCTGACAAACCCTAAAAAGAGGCGACGCTCGCAGCGACGATGCACGGTGAGACCTGATGCATGTGGGTTCGTTTGTATTTTTTAGATAGGAAGCGGTGCATTCAAGTGCACGCTTGTTGCACGCTTGTTGCACGGGTTTAAATGTCCAGCGGAGGGTTTTCGTGCTCTGGAATGAGGTGAGATGCAGCGGTGTGACAGAGCATGATGTCCAGTCTTTTGCACACGAAACCAAAACAAGAAGAGATTTGAAACATGCATTTAATGTCTAAAGGTGTTCTTTGAAATCCAGCAATCCATATACTACTAAATGCTTCATTTTTGTACCAAGAAAACCCTAAAAACACTGTTAAATCCAGCTGTCATTTGAAGTCTGAATCAGATGCTGCTGATCTGTGATTGCATTCGGCTTTTGGTACAAAGGCTTATCTGTGTCCTCTTTGAAACCTC